GCCAAAAACATAAAACATGGAGAGGTGAGTATAAATGCAGCTCTTCTGAATGCCTTCTAACATAAATGTATAACAGCTTAAAATAAAATATTATAGATATAGATTGATACATGTGAACCCTGGTAACCACAAACCACAACCTACAAAAAATACCTACAAAATAAAGAGAAAGAAACAAACAAACAAAAAACATTAAACAAAACCAGAAAACCTAGAGGAGAGATAAAAAAGAAAAAGAATAAAGAACTAGAAAAAAACAACCAAAAAAACAATTAATAAAATGGCAATAGGTAATTCTTATCAATAATTACTTTAAATAAAAATGGACTAACTACTCTAATAAAAAGATAGAGTGTGACTAAATGGATAAAAAAAGTTTTTTTAAAATTAAATTAAAAAAAAAAAGACCTATCTATATGCTGCCTACAAGAGACTCACCTCAGATCAAAAGACACACACAGACTGAGAGTGAAGGGCTGGAGAAAGATGTACCATGCAAATAAAAATGAGATAGCAATACTCATATCAGACAAAATAGACTTTAAAACAAAGACTGTAAAAAAAGACAAAGAAGGCTATTACTTAATGATAAAGGGGTCAATGCAAGAAGAGGATATAACATTTGTAAATATCTATATACTCAATATAGGATCACCTAAATATATAAAGCAAATATTAACAGACATAAAGGGAGAAGTTGACAGTTCACAATAATAGTAGAGGACTCTTAACACCCAACTTACATCAAAGGATAGATTATCCAGACAGAAAAATCAATAAGGAAACAATGGCCTTAAACATCACTTTAACCAGATGCATTAGAACATTTTATCCAAAAATTGCACATGAAACATTCTTTAGAATAGATCACATGTTAGGTCACAAAACAAGTCTCAATAAATTCAAGAAGATTTAAACGCTATCAAGCATATTTTCTGACAGCAACGGTATGAAATTAGAAATTAATTATAAGAAAATAACTAAAAAACCCAAGTATGTGGAAACTAAACAAGATTCTACTAAACAATGAATAAGTCAAATTGGAAATCAAACAGAACTACAAAAAACTACATGGAGACAAATGAAAATAAAAACACAACTTTCCAAAATTTATGTAATGCAGCAATAGCAGTTCTAAGAGGGAAATTCATAGTAATACAGGCCTACTTTAAATAA